TAACCATTAGAAGGTGCTGGAGCTGCATAGCCATTACCGCCCCCGTTGCTTGCGGGCGGTGCGCCATACGAAGAACTTGGTGCCGCAGGGGCACCATAACCATTAGACGGTGCCGGAGCCGCATAACCATTACCGCCCCCGTTGCCTGCTGCCGGAGCACCATACGAAGAACTTGGCGCCGCAGGAGCACCATAACTACTGGATGGTGCAGGCGGAGCGCCATAGCTTGACGAGGGTGCCCGAGGTGGAGGTCCATAGCTTGATGAAGGCTTTTGCGGCGGAGGACCGTAGCTACTCGCTGGTGCTGGAGCACCGTAACTGGAAGCGGGTGCATGCGGGGGCGGTTGAAAATTGCTAGAAGGTGCGCCGTAACTAGAAGAAGGTGCTTGGGGGGGAGGTCCATAATTGCTAGATGGTGCGGGTGCACCATAACTTGAAGATGGCGTTTGGGCTGGCGCTCCGTAGCTAGAAGATGGCGTGCCCACAGGTACTCCGTAACTTGTGGATGGCGGCCCGTACTTTGGCGAAGGTGCCTTAGCAGGTGCGCCGTAGCTGGAAGAGGGACGTTTGTTGGAACGGCGTGGTGGTCCCTTCTTAGGGGGCCGATAATTGGTACTAGGAGGACTTGGTGCTCCATAGCTAGATGAGGGAGAACTTTTAGGCGGCGGTCCATAAGAGTCAGACGGACCGGCCGAAGAACCACCATAATTCCCATTTACAGCAGGTCCAGATGGTGGAGCTGAATACGAATTGGAAGGTGGCAAATAATTATTATTAATAGGAGCATCACGCTTAACAGCTTGACCACCAAAATCATATAAAAAGAAAACGCAAAATAGCTAAAAAAAAAGAGAAAAACATAATTAAATCAACTTGCAACGATAATGGCAACAAGCATTTTATCTAAAACAAACCGCAATTAATTTTTTGCCCGGACTCATGACATGTGGGAAGTGAATTATATACCAAAAAAGTTTACTCTGCTGCTGTTCCTATAGGCAAAATGGAAGAAAATTTAAACAAAATGTAACGTATGTTAAAAAGTTAAATTGAAATCAGTTGTAATTATTGTATTTACATACAATACGCAATTAACGATAGATAGAAAAAACATTATAAAGTAGACATGTTGCAAAGAATAGCAACAAATTACAAAGTGTGGTAACAATTACGTTATGTTCAGTGGCAATTTCAATATATAATGCAAGACGATAATATTGTTTATATGGATTGTTGAAACGATGTGTGTGTTTGTGTTTGTGTGTGTGTGTATGTATGTGTGTGTAGAGAGGTCAAGATGAGGTGTTGGAGAATGTCTTTTAGCTTATACATAAATTGATTGTAACGGATAATGTTTGGTAAGTTGTAAGTATTCTCAAATTTGTTCCACTGAACGTATTTAATAGTTCTTTACAGATTAGTTAATCGTTGATTTTATTTGATTTTATTTTATTGATATGAATGTTAGGTAAATAATAAAGAAATATAAAATGTAAAAAACGTGATATGAAGATAAATTTATGCAAACGCTCCATATACTCTATATGCATACACACACTGTACTCCTTTAATATAACGCATTATTGCGCTATTACGTTATGGACTTGATTTGCGGAATTAAAATTCGATTTCCGATTTTCAATGTTATCTTTGCTTCTTCTTTTTCTTTCTTTTTAGATCGCGCAAACGTGGATAAAGAGATATTGAGATACCATCCATAGTGGAAAAGGAAAATACACATGCGTATGCTTTTTTTTTTTATTTTACACAATTCAGGTTCATTGCTATGCACGCATAAACCCGTAAACGATGATAATCAATGTGGCGATGTTGAAAAAACTGAAATGACTAGAATGATAAAGACGAACATCTAAGAATTAATAATCAGGCAATAAATATAGGGTAAGTGGAAAAAATCGACTTTGTAGTTTTGTTGTTGCTTTAATGAGAATGTTATGAATGAACAAACATGTAATAGATTGACTTGATGTTGGCATTGTTTACCACACAATTAATTTCGACAACACACAGGGAGCATTTAAAAATCATTACAAAAGTATTGACAATACAGGGCAATGAAACTCGTCCAGCTGTCACCACATTTCAATAGTATGCGCAACGCATCATGATTTAATTAACTTATTATTCAAAAAAGAGTTTTCATTGGGTCATTAGGTTCTCAAGTAATCGCTTATATCCGAATTCTAATATAGTCCATGTTTCCTGCAATAAAACATTTATAGTGACGTCATTTACCAACATGGTCATCTTCGTTTCCAATGCACTCCTGGCATCGTTCCCAAAATGTTGCCGGTACAATCCTTCGTCGCCGATGCAATCAATTGTCGTTGACTTCAAATTGTCGTCATAATATATATATAGATATACATATATATATGTCTATTAACGTTGACCCCTTTTCGAATCAAATTCCTGAGTTGATCTTTCTGCTTTAGAAATAAATTGGAAAGATGACTATACATGGCTTGGTAATTATGAGCACATAATGGAGTCATTTTGAAAATTTTTCATTGACATCTTCGAAAAAGGGAATATATGTGAAATGCTTTTCTAAGGTTTGTTTGTGTGTAGAATAACTTTGAGAAATCAAATATTCATGTGAAAAATATCAGAGTTTCATCAACATTTTTCGAAAACAGTTACCATCATTAGGCAAATATTCATTCTTCCTCAGATAGCTACTAGATTTTTCCTTTTTATCCTCGAACCGAGACGTTCCGATACTGAAGTTAGATTTGGTCCCTAGTTGTAGGAATTTTACTTATGCCCCGAGCGCGAAGACAATAAAGGATAAAATTGTGATTTCTTTTAAGCGATGCAGTTAACAAAATTGTGTAAAAATTTTAAGCCTAATTTTGCTCTGTTATCGATAAAAAATAATAAACTTTGACGTAATCATATTGAAAGTAGTCAATTGGATCTTAACAAACGCACTTTAATTTCATTCGTACATATTTCTCTGTCTATAAACGAGGATGACACTTTAATGTTGTGCTTAAAGGCGGCTCTCTTCTAAGTAAGCAAGTGTTCGCCAAAATCATTATTTCATTCAATGCAAGCAATCTTTTAAAACTTTTTTCGCCATTAACGGCTTACGTGAATCGTATCGAATTTTTATTTCACTTCATCAAAGAACGATGTGTATGTGTGTGTGTGTGTGTGTGTGTGTGTGTGTGTGTTTTCTGGGTCTCTTGAATATAATTGAAAACATGGAAGAGTTTGCCAAATATGATCTTCTTAATAATCTCTGTTACGTAAGGTCATAGAAAGGAAACTTTTCAAGAATCTCCAAAATATCGAGAACTCAAATACTTTTAGTTATCTCAGAAAACTTTTTTAATATCTTTGAGTCAGTTTAAGGAAATAAATGCAAAGTAAATAACTTTTCTTTAGTAAAACTTTCATTGGAAAAACGTATCCCAACAAAAAACCGATTATGCAACTCATCTTAATATTTTTATTAAACTTGCTTTTAAGCTTTGTTTAATAAATTTTCTAATTATGTTTTTATTATTATTTTTTTATTTATTTATTTATTTATTTTTTGTCTACTTCTTTTTACACATATATATATATATATATATATATATATACTGATATGGTATGCTTTAATTTAAATTTTATAATCTCTCTACGTACACTTTTTTTTTTATTACAAGACTTTAATCCTTCACTTTAAATTATTTTTATAATATATGTTTAAACCGCGAGCTCTACATATACTGTAATCGTTAACAAATCTTTACAATGGTTTTTATAATCGAAAAATCGCATATCAACAAATATTTTGCAGACAACATCTGAACATAAGTAAAACCTTTCTAGACAATAGAAAAAATCAGGCGAAATGCGATCAACAGAAGAGATAATAATAAAAAAAAAACATAAATAAGAAAAAATATCGCATATATACTTCGCTTGCAGCTACATATTGTTTTCAGCTTACAGCTTCGCACTGAGAAATAGCAATAAAAGCCGGAATGAATTTCATCTGTAGAGAAGCGTAAAGGCTGTCTTACTCTACATCTTATATTTACTCGCAAAATGCTTTTTTTCTTTAATTTGTAAATATTCAAAGTAAAGTTTTGCTCCTCTGATTTGAATGCGTACGTAGTGCTGCCTTCAAATCTAATTGCTTTCATCACTTCACCTTCATTCACTGTTACTCATCTTTCGAAAGCAGTTAATATAACCAAGTTGTTGTTAACACATTCTTTGCCAACGATGATGTGCTTGCTCTTTACAGCAAGCATTTGGCATTACTACAAGTTTATTGCTGCAAATCCGCAAATTTAAAGCAATAAATTTCAAACCCCGAAAGTGTTGAGGATTTTTACAATTGCTTGACTTTATATATAAATATAAATAAATTTGCTTTTATAGCAAATATTTGAAATTATTGCGAGAATCCGAAATTAACCGAATTCCATCTATTTACTTATCTGCATCTGAAATTCAATGAACCCTTAGAACTAAATCTAAGTAATCTAAGCCAAGCATTATGCGACGTAACTAATTTAAATTACATAATCGAAGATAAAGGAAAAAAATGAATAAAAATGAAGCAAAAAAGAAAACACATATACGCATACAGCGGCACACTGCATTAAAACACTATATCCAAAAAAAAAAATAAATAAATACATAAATAAATGAATAAAAGGACATAAACCTATCTAAAAGATAAATCTATAAATCTATGGTAACAGATAACAAAATTAATCTATTTCCATAAAGTTGAGTAGAAAAAAAAAGGACTTCCAATAAAAATTGCTAAGTGCAGAATTCTATTAAATCTACACAGCCAACTGCATTGTTTCTTAATAACACTAGATAATGATTCTCCTAAATATGTTGCATATTTTTTGGAGTTTTTATAGTTCAAGTGTATCATTATAATAACTGTATTGTTATAAAATTCGCTTTTCTAAGATACAGTCCCCGTCCGTATTACTGGACCGTGGATATTTATTCAAGAGAACTGCACTTCAAACTTTTTTTATTTACATTCATTATATTCTTTAAAGGTAGGATTATTCACAATTTATTTTTGGCAATACTTTCAACTGCTCAACTTAAATATTCCTTTTCTACTAGTTCTGCCTTTCACAAATATTTCATTTATATACATTTTTACCATCATATTACTATTACCTAATTTTATGGCTTGATTTTTAATTCGTTAACTTGCTTTTCTGGTACCCGTTTTCCTCGGCCGGCAGCTACATGACGCGGTGCGAATGTCCATTTGGTGTTTCTCTCTTCTCAGGGCTTTTATTACTTAGCTGGAATGAACAGTATTTGGCATTTCTGTAACATTAATTACTATTATGAAAACCTCCCCGCCCATGATAAAATTATCGCTGACCCATAAAAATCAAAGTGTAAATTATCGAAATGATCAATGATTATCACAATTTATTTCACTTGCATATTTATTAATTACTCATAGCATAAAAAACGAGAATTTCATAGTTTAATTCACATATTTCATGATTTATTTATTTGATGGCGCATCCGAATCTATCATAATTTCATATTCCAGTATAGTCGCATTGCACTCTTACATTACTTGTGGCACAAGAATATATTCTGTGGAAGAACTTAAGATAGGTCTGTCCGCCTGGTTGCTCATTTTTTTAGATATTTTCATGAAATATCTTAATAACTTATAAAGTTCATTCCGCCGAGCTGCCGCAAATTTGTCCTGGAGCACTCCCATATTGTATGAACTTTTGAAGAACACTAGAAAACCATTCCATTCGCCGAAATAAACCTTAGATTTTCATTTTTTACTTAGTAATCTCTGTGAGTCTCGTTTTCTGTATATCAGCAGCAGTATATGATAACCACTAATAGCAGACGCCAAGCGTATTGCCGAGAAAAGCCGAGAAAATACTCGAACATCCATTCGAATCAAGAATTCCATCCATATCCACTTTGATCTATAAACATTCTGGCACTTCGAGTACTGCTCGAATTCTGTTCGAAATTGCAAACTTGCACAGAGAGACTTGTTTATGCATGTCATACTGCCACAACGAACGCATACAATGGCTACGAAAGAAGTATATATTCTATTCGGTGGACCTGGTTTTGTTTTAATTTCTACAAATCAAACGCAAAGGAGGCGATAAAATTGTTTAAATCGAATTTTAAAATTTGTTATTATGTCCCCCGCACTAAATATCGCAATGAAGATAAGAGAAAATCCAAACATATTTGCATTAAAAAGAGGGGCATTTAAGTCCCCAGTTTGAGATTGTCGCAAAGTTTGACGGAACATCTACTTTATCATGCCATATCTACCACTACTATTTACCTATATTGGGGAGAGGAAAGCATTTTAAACTTCTTTCGCTATGAAAAGAGCTATTCGCAGGGTATAGAAATCTCTTATAAAAATAATAAAATAGAGCATAATCGAATAATGAATATATTTATTGTTATTGAACCACGAAAAAAAAAGACCGTTTCTTAGTATATTTATATAAAAACATTCAATAATGATACAAATAAATCCTATTCATGGAAAGTTGATTTATGTTACCTTTTGAAAAGCAATAAACAAATACAAAAAATAAAACGAAAAAGTTAAGGAAAACGCATTAAAATAAAACAACTTCAAGTAACTTAAAGTTGCGAATATATGAACGCTATAAAGATTCAAAAAAAAAAAAGAAATTTACTTCTCCAGATTTCGGCGATGTTGCATTTGCAATTCGAAGCGTCGATTAGAACGCACGCCTCTTATGACAACGTCATTCTTGACGTCTTGTTTGGTTGCCTTGCGACTCTTAAATAAGTCCATGTGTTTTTGCAAACGTATAGATGACTTATCTAACTGCTTTTGTTGTTTCATTAAAGTGGCGCTTGTTTGTAAGCCATTCGACATCGATGGACCTGCAGACGTAGATAAATTGAATGGGGGTTTGGATGGGATTGCTTTTGCCAACAATGTACGGCCAACTGTCTTTTGATCCGATTTCAAACTTTTTTCCGCATTTGTGCTAATTGTTTTATTAGCCGTAGAAACGGTGGTGGCAGTGGCATTAGACGATTTTCCTACTGAACTTTGTATTACTTCATCATTTAAAAAAGGCTTAACGACACCCATGCGAGCATCACGTATGCCTAGGGGCAATTGCTGATGTTGTTTGCGAAGAATTCGATCGGTATTCGCATCACAATTCATTGCCGTGGTCAAATTGGTCGCTTTAGGTGCTTGAATTCCTCTCAAAATCTTTTGAGCGGACACTGCAAAATTTAAAAGGAATACAAAAATTATAAGCAATTGAGAAAACGATTAAAGATTCCGATTATTTGGTTTGAATGCAAAACATGCCCATAAGTTATACCCCGCGCCCAAAATTGGCATAGAGCTAAGTAGATAAAAAACCCTTGTATACATCGGTTAGTCATTTTTTCGTTTATTCTTTTATCCCCACTTTTATTGCGGAGAAATCTTTTCCACTCATGAGTGTAGAGTAGTATATCCATTACCTATGAATATAAATAAAACGTATAGCTATAAAGCGGTGCCTAAATCTGGATAATCTTGGATTCCACCATTAATGGGATTAAAATGCCTATGATCCCAATCTAAGCCACCAATGTGCACTTCATTACAAGATCTTATTATCCATCATAGAGGCTAGTCCATTGTTTTTAAGGATGTTTTTTTTTTCCATTTACAGACAATTTAAAAGCATTTCGATACGTATTCGCTGGTAAATTGAGGTCTCTTTCATGAACTCGTACGTTTGCCTTAACATGTCTTCGACCGATTTAGATTACAATTAATTGCACTTACGTTGATGTTGTTTAGTCGCGGAATTAATTAAAAGTTTGGAGCGCTCCTTTTTTCGTGCAACATGATCAACTAGACTTTCCATTTTCTGGAAATGCCTTTCATGTATAGCAGCAAAATTTGGTAATTTTGTTCGGGCCGTGGTCGTCAACTCATTTTTTTTAGGAGTAATTTGTCCTGTTGCCAAAGAAAATTCAAATAAAAACAAATTATATTAAACGCGAGGATGATAATTCTCACCTGTTCTTGTTAATTTTGGGATTCGATTTATGATTTCGTCCAACGACATTGAGCGTTTACGGCGTTTAGTAACATCTGAAATTAGGAAATGAATTTAATTGAAAATTGCATTTTATTTAGCTTTGCTTACTTTTATCCTTGAGATTTGTAAAAGTATCAATATTAGGTTTCTTTTTTTTCATCTCTTTTGGTGAGTCATCAATTGTCACAGTGCGAAAGGCGACTACCTTTTGTTGACGTACGGATTTATCTTTAGTTTGTTGGTTATAATTGGTCGGAAAACCGTCAAGACAAAGTGAAATGGAACGTTTACGTATGCCCCGCAAAACTGCCTCCTTAGGTTCGGTTACAGTGACTGTGGGATGAACAATTGTCTCTAGACTATCTTGTTGCTCCTCGTAATTTCTTATTTTATTGGGAAAGGGATTTAGTTTATTGCTATGTGGAGTTGGGAAGCGGCATGGCATTTTAACGTATTTAGAAGTCGAAGGAGTTTGTGTTTGTTTTTCGGTAAAATCCGGCTTAGGAAGTATAGATGGTGTCTTTGTAAGATCTTCGATATTATCATCGGTTAATTCAAAAGTTTGTGTTTCATCCTTCACGAAAGTCGATGATTGAATGTCTTCTGCTGGTTCATCTTCATCTTCAATAACAATGACAGTGGAATTATGCTTTTTAGACTCAATGCCACATCCGTCATCTTCGGTGTCGTCATCATCGCAATATATTAAAGAGGGCATTTCATTGTCCACATCATGAACCTCTTCCAGCATAGGGACACTTTCAGTTTTACCGTCCTCTTGGCTCATTTCGGGTTCATTACTTATTTCTTCCAAAATCAAATTCTGGGGTTGCTCTGGCGGTCGTGCAGCCTCTTCTTCCAAAGGATTTAGCCCTAATTCTTTCATATCAAAATTATTCCTTTTCAAATAAGAACCAAAGTTTTCTTTTGTTTGGGTTGGCGTTTGCAAAGAGGTTCCGACATGACTTTCAAAAATATTACCTTCTTTTGGCTTAGATTCAACGTGTTCTTTATCCGTTTTTATCAAATTGTGAAATATATTAGTCGAAGTAGTCTCTTCATCAATTATCATTTTTTCTTGCTCCTGTACATTATGTTCATCGACGTTCAAACTTTCCACGTTCTGAATTGTTTTGGCGACGTCCTTATTCGAATCTTCCGCGACACAGCTTTGCTCTTCTTTTTGGATTGGCATTTGCAAAGAGGTCCCGTCATCTCTTTCAAAAATATATTCTTCTTTTGGCTTAAATTCACCACCTTTTTCATCTCCTTTCATCACGTTGAAAAGAATATTAGTCCGAATAGTCTCTTCTTCAATTATCATCTTTTCTTTCTCCTGTATATTATGTTCATCGAATTCAAAATTTTCAACGGTCTGAATTGTTTTGCCGACGTCCTTATTCGAATCTTCCGCGACACAGCTTTGCTTTGTTTTTAAGTAAGGATCAAAGTTTTCTTGTTTTTGGATTGGGATTTGCGAAGAGTTCCCGACATGGCTTTCACAAATATTTTCATTAGTCGGAGTACTCTCTTCTTCAATTAGTACCTTTTCTTTCTCCTGCATATTATGTTCATCGACGTTAAAACTTTCAACGGTCTGAACTGTTTTGGCGTCGTGATCATGTGTGTGTTCATTCCCGTTATTTTGACTTTCTTCGTTCTCTTTATTTTCATCATCTTCTTCTTCCTCGTCGACATCTGAGATTTTGCCCAAATTATTTTCCTTTCCTGCACTATTAATTTTGCTCTCTTCATTATCTTCATCCTCCGTTGTGCTATATTCGCTAGTTTTCTGGAGGCCAATCACTTTAGTTTTACTAGTGCGGCGACTCTTTCGACTACGTCTCTTAGAACTTCTGCGGCCCACATCGGAGGGTGTCCATTTAGGCTTCTGTTCCTCAGCGATTTCAGAATGCTTAACATCGCAATTTTCATCTAAAATGATTGATCTTTTGGCCGATCGCATTGTCTGACTTACAATTTCCCCATAATCTTGAAGCGGTTTAACACTTTTGCGAGTACTACGACGTGGTGTCTGCCGCATTTCATTTGGCGTATTCGGATCTGATTTTTCTTTCAATTTTCTAGAAGGTGTCTTTGCGACATTATTTGACATTTCCTCAAATTTTTCTTGGATTGTTTGACAGTTTTCTAAAAAATTAAATTTTATTGATTTCCTTTTTATATAAATAATATTTATGCTCGCTCACCTTTGGAAACATCCATTATTTGAAATATAATTTTTCCAAAAATCTTCGACACAAGTCTCTCAAAATTAAACACTAAATGATTTTCACGCTTGGGTCCTTTTTCGTTTTTTCAGAGGTGTGAATTGTTAAACTGCTCTTTTCAAATTGCCTGCCAAGCTACACTTAAGGTTGCCAATTTACTTTTTATTCCCTCAGCAACGTGATTACCTACGCAGTGAAAAGAATTTTAAAAAATCAAATTAAGAAGTAACTAATGAAAGCAGACATAAGTGATAAAAACGCGTTATTTTTATTTTGCCGTCTTTTTAGGAAAATTTGTGGGAATTCGAGATATTATTATGTTAATCTCCGTAACTCGTTGCAAAAAAGTATTTGGTGAACTGTGTTATTTGTGCGATGCTGCTATAATTTACTTTAATAAAATATAAATATTATATAGTCATATCGTATATTTAATTCAATCAAAAAAAATAACTTAATAAAAATTGTATAAATGAAATGACTTGGCAACCCTTTGAGTAAATCTGAAAAGAAACAGTACGATTGCTAAACCAATCGTTTTGTGTTCGTGCGTGATAAAGTAACATTTTTGAGGAATAAGTTAGACATAAATTTAACGAGAAAAACGAAAAAGAAAATTGATAAATAAAACAAAGTTTTAAAAATTTCCTGAAATTAGTTAAAGTATATTTGATGACTATTAAGTGTTTTATGAGAAATGAATATTAAATCATTATCTGGAACCTTGATATTGGACGGCAATGTGTTAAATTTTTTTTATTTTTTTTTTTTGTAGCGAGAAGGGCAAAAGAACAGCTGATTGAAGAATGCGGATGATCCAATTAAACAAATGTTGACTTATTATAAATACCTACGACATAAGAAAATAAAAAAAAGATGGGCAAAAAAAGTCAAGACCTTTTAGAAGCAGCCAGAAATGGTAAAATAGCAGTAGTTAATAAAATACTCGAACAGTATTCTAAAAAAAGCGGACCTCTATCAAGGTAATTACATCGATTTATCATAAAACGTGTCAAAGAGTAGTTTTCTTCGCTTTAAAGCTTTAGACGTAGCCCGAGCATAAACGGCCAAGATATAAATGGTTATACCCCGTTGCATCATGCCTGCTTAAATGGACATTACGAAATTGTGCGTCTGCTTCTTATTTATGATGCTGCAATTGACGTATCCGACATTAGGGGATCTACACCATTGTACTTGGCATCTTGGGCCGGTCATTATGAAATAGTAAAACTGTTGCTTTCCCATCCCGTAAGGCCGGCTAATCCGAACGCTCAGACATTAGATAATGAAACACCTTTACATTGCGCTGCCCAACATGGATACTGCTCCATAGTCGCTATACTTTTAACATATGGGGCAGATCCCACCGTACGCAATAATAGTTTTCAAACAGCTTTAGATCTGGCAGCTCAATTTGGACGTTTACAAGCAGTACAAACTCTTTTACGCACTCATCCCGAATTAATAGAATCACTTCGATTTTATGATGAAATGGAAAATGGCCATGCGACACCTTACACTATAACGCCCACTAAACATATATTTACTCATACTTGTTTACATTTGGCAGCACGTAATGGCCACAAAAAAGTTGTAGAAGCATTACTGGCGGCTGGTGTTAATGTAAATCTTTTAACTCATAATGGTACAGCATTGCATGAGGCAGCTTTATGTGGTAAGAAGTCAGTTGTGTACACTTTATTGAAATCAGGTGTCGATCCAACAGCGGTCGATGGTCAAGGACGTAGCGCTTTGGACGTTCTGAAAGATTACCCGCCTCATGTCACTTACGAAATCGCATCAATTATAAAGGGTATATAATTAACTTTAAATTGTGCTGAAAATTTTTATTATAAATAGAAATTTGCAGGATTTTGTTTTGATAGTCAACTAATGGATAGTAAAACGCATTTCGTGCCGATTAAAGAGGTCAGCGAAGATGCTGTTTTTGAAAATAAAGACTCAAAGGAAAATACGATACATCTAACAAAGTAAGAAAAATAATTAAGTACACTATTTTTTATTCATGTTTGCAAACATATCATCTAGAATTGCTTAATTTGCCTAATTTGCCTAACAAAACAAATTAAATTAAATAACAAATTAGATAAATCTCCATATGTCTCCATTTTGTTTGGAACAAAATCTTACATTAATCAAAGACTGAATTAACAGCATTTTGTAAGACCATGTATGTTTGTATCACTAACTTTTAGGACAAATTTATTGTGTTTGTGTTTGCGTTATTAACTCAATTATTGTGTGTTATTACATGTTTTTGTTGTTGTTTTTCTTTTTTACTAATCACGTATAGACGTTACGTATTATAATTGTTTACCGCATTAAAAATAAATGTTTGCATTTGAATCATCCCTTGGCTTTTTGTGTTTTGTAGTATTCCGTTTTGTATTCTTTCTAAACATATGTTAGTGTGCATGCACAAGAAGACCACATTATAGTAGAAAAGTTCAATTTGGTCAGTGTTCGCGAGTTTAAAATTCAAGCGCGGTAGAGTTTGTTTTGGTCGTAGCTATAGTATGTATACAATCGATCCAGGCATAACAGTCGCCTTTTAGATACACGCCCACTAGGTTGCGGCCTTCCTATCTCATTCTCTTTCAATCACTTCTTTCTAAGCGTCACCGCATTAAAAATAAATGTGATTCGAACAGTGACTCTGAGTGATCATATTAAAGAAAAAAAAAAAGAAAATGACGAAATTTTCATGTCCGCCATGAAAGGATAATTTTAGCCATTCAATTTGTATTATTCAAAATCAGAGGCAACTTCACATAGTATTGTGTTGTGAATAAGATCACGATTTTGTCTCTTATTCGTAAAATTGTATAAAACTACGGTAGAAATTCAGAAAAATGAAACGTTAAGAAGAATAATTATGCCCTAATACTATAATCATGGATATAAACGAATTGAAAAGACGCTGTGGTCGTTTTCCAACCTGGAAAATATCGACTTGAAAATGTTCTGTTGTAAATAATGCAAAGAAAGAGTTGCAATTGTTATATATTAGTTTGTCTGGAAAGATGGACATAGTGATGCATAAATTGAATGAAGGCAATGTATATGTAAATTTTGGTATGTTTAATTATTTTGTGGATTAGTGAGGATGTAATTGTTCTTCCAATACCCATACCATATATATTCTCATTCTCTACTTTACAATACGTTAGTTAATATTCGAAAAGTTTTTTTCTATCTCAACAAGAGAATACTTACGCATTTTGATCATGTGCTTTTCTTAGACCTTTTAAGTTATTTATACTCATATTTATATTTACATACCATTTGCAGATCCATTCTATGTATGTTTGAATGTGGCTTTTGCAACTATTTTCAGTCAGCATTATTTCATAGCTGTTCATAACTAACAAAATTAAAAAAATTTCAAATTGTTCTGACCATTTTCTAATGTTTAATAAATTTGTTTAAAGTTCCCTGGAATGTTCTAAATCACGAGATTATTATACGCCTATGGAACCTACTAAAGGACGATTATCTTCTAATAATTTGCGAGTTAATGAAGCAACTCTGTTGTATAAACCTGTATATAAACCAATTTTACTTAGTAAACGTTTAGGGGAATTACAACACCATTTACCCAAATTAAATTTGCAATCTTCATGTAGGTAGCCCGTGTAACACGAAAAAAAAGAAAAAAACGAAACAGTAATTGACAATATATTCTAATTTATTTGAATAGCATCGAAAGAAGATCGTTGTGTAGATGAATATGTCGAAATGACTTTACCGAATTCAAATGTCAATTTATTACCACAATCCTTACATAGCCCAAGAGATATCTTGCACAACTCATCAGAGTACACAAGTTTTAATGTAACAAGAGCACATACAGAGCACGATATTTCTCTTAATGTTAATAGCCGTGATAAGTAGGTTGATATATGTATAGAAATCACTTTAAAAAAAAAAAAAAAACAAGTGCTCAATTATTATGATTGAATTTTGCAGAAAAAACTTTGACAGTAACAACAATAATTGGGTAGCGACACGTATGGTTCCAGTTACACCGGAAATACCACCACCTTCTGTTAGCGAAGCAGAGAATACTATTTTCGAATTTGTAAAACCGCCTGACGATCATATAAGAAGGAGATCATTTCATTTGGAAGATACAGATCCGCACTCTCTTAATGATCTAAAATCGTTTATATGGGAAGGCCAAAAAGAACCCAGAGAAGACCAAGCTGAGTCATTGAGTAGTTCCCGGGTATCGGAATGTGTTGAAGAATTTGTGAGTGAGGTACCATTCGCAGGTACGTTTCTCCATTTATTCCACTTTTCATATTTTCATATTATTTTTATTTTAGGTTTATTTAAAGGTTCATCTTTAAACCTAGCCAGTAACTCTCAATTAAACAGTTCCGTTGAGGATTTGTCTGTTGGCCTACGATCACCAAAGTTAGTGCGTGCGACGGTTAAAACCAAGCGCGTTCTTAAAGTAAAGGAAACAAACGAACAAAAAAACGTTAATAACGATTTAGATTTTGATGCTGTCAAGGCGTGGGAAGAAATTCAAACAATTTTCGAATGTATAGGTAACGAAGTGAAGAAAAACGATAAAAAATTGATAACAACGTCACGAAATGATGAAGCGCAAGCATTCTTGCATAAAAAAACACTGAGTATACGAAAACCAGCAGAATTACTTTTAAAATCGAATAATAGCAAACAAAAAGAAACAAATTCTAATTGGTGTCATTCAAACAATATTCTAATCTACGGCTCCTTGACATATAAGGTGTTTGTAAGTTTATCTCTAATTACACGAAAATGGAAATTTTAGGCATTTAATAATTCATTTAGTATTTGGGTTCTACGGTTATTAGAGAACTACACGGAACAGCGTCAACTAGAAAGTCCATACAAAGGCTTAAACGTGGAGAAACCCCAATTCTTTCGGATAACGAAGAATCGTCTTTAATAAAAGACATTAACAGTTCAACGCGTATACTAAAGGAGACTAATCAGCAAACGCGACTAGAAGTGGGTATAGCACTATCCCATACTGGCGTACGTTTTGTAGATGTTCAAACACAGGTCTTTCTTTTTTGCTCTATCTATCTCTGCATCGTGTTAACTTTTTTTTTTTTTTATATGCTTTTTAGAATACAATTAGTGTACATGATATTGAGAATATCAATTGTGTTTGCCAGGATCCGGATGATTTGCGTTATTTTGCTTATATAACTTGGGAGGATAATATACATTATTGTCATGTCTTTATGGTCGATAATGTGGTAAGTTAACAATAGATGAATACTTCGAATTACGGTAGACATGCAGCTGACGTAAGTCGAGCAACGTTTGAAGTCATCACCCTAATCTATACTTTATATATATTTACATACGATTTATATATCAATTAATTTTATGCTTTTTCATTCATTCATTATTTTGTTTAGGATCTAGCTACCGAAATTATTCTTACGTTGGGGCAAGCATTTGAAGTTGCATATCAACTTTCTATAATGAATCAGCAGCAGAGTATAGCCTGTTCTAGTTATATTGACATTGTGGATAATATTTAATTTATTATTATTTACGCGTAAGTGATATTATTCATTTTTCATAAATCATATTTACAATCAATTAATTTAAAGTTACTTATTTTAAACTAGTCCTATGTTGCCATTTAAATTCTATTTCGTCTCCTAATAACCTAAAGAGTATTTTTTTGTTATATCGACAAACTGAAAATGTACAAGTTTAAATGCTTTCATTTATAATATAATTAACGACAAACATATATTTAAATATTGTAGATGAAACCAGAAACATTAATTTAACATAATAATAATCTTCAAAAGTTAATTGAATTGGTTTTTAGAGATTAATAAGAGATTATTAAGAGATTAATTATATAGATAGTAAATAAACGAAAATTGCTTCAGAAATACTTTCACAGCTTATTCTAGAGCAAACAAAGCAATCCTCTTGTTTCTAAATTGAAATGCTAAATAAATAAAATTCTAAAAAGTTACGCGACAAACTCTACACGAATTCGAAATGCGAAAACATCAACTGGAATGAATCGGCGACAGAAAGTTCCCTCATGCCCACAATCAACCTCTCATAATAAAGAATCTTGGATCCAAATGATTGACAAATGTACACAGCAGAAAGAATCCCAATTTCTTTCTTTACCTATTTAAAAAAAAATTCTAGTAATAAAACAATTTTTTTTTGGTTGTTTCGTTGCTTTGCAAGCAAGCAAAGTAAGCATGTATATATATGTACTATTCAAACGTATTTAGCATTTAGCAATAGCTTTTTACATATCTTGTTTTCTCTGTTTTTTGTATATAAGTTTTGTACAAAACTTCTCTTTGTTTGCAACTGTCTTGTGTTTACATTATTAGATGCTACTATTGATTTGTGTAATAAGTCCATCTCTGTTCTGCATACATGTTGTATATGCAAGTTCTATTACAGCTTTTGTACAAAAGTTCTTTCCTTACACATATCTTGTTTATGCATTACTAAATGCTGTATAATTCTTAATTGATTTGTAAAAATATAGATGTAAGAGAATGCATTTCTATTGTAATATTAAGAAAGGCTCGACTTTTTAGGAATACCCCTTTCCCTCCTACCCCACATTTCTTCTTCTTTTTTATGTTTTTCGGCCCTTTTTCTTTTCTCTGGAATTTATTTCCGAAAATTGTTGTTGTTTTTGTAAAGTTTTTTTCCAAAATTTTTTGTTGTTTTTGTAAATTTTTTTTTTCCAAATTTTTTGTAAAATTTTTTCTAAAAATTTTTGTTGTAAATTTTTTTGTTGTTTTTGTAAATTTTTTTTGTAAAATTTTTTGTTTTTGTAAAATTTTTTTTTGTTGTTTTTGTAAATTTTTTTTTTGTTGTTTTTGTAAAATTTTTTCTAAAAATTTTTCCTATAAATAAAATTTTTGTTGTTTTTGTAAAATTTTTTTCCGAATTTTTTGTTTTTGTAAAATTTTTTTCTAAAAATTTTTGTTTTTGTAAATTTTTTTGTTTTTGTAAAAAATTTTTTGTTGTTTTTGTAAAAATTTTTCTAAAATTTTTTATTGTTTTTGTAAATTTTTTTTGTTGTTTTTGTAAAATTTTTTTCTAAAAATTTTTCCTATAAA